ATGTACCTATCTTTTACATGATTGTCGACGCATTGGTCGATACAATCAAGGCTCTCGTTCATCTTGTCCTATTCTTGCTACTTTAGCTCGACTGCTGATGTCTCTCATGTAGTATCTCTCTGTCATAACCTTTCCTCCTCCATCTTTGTTCGCCCTGACCTCTCCCCCCCCCCAACGGAGGAGACAATGATATATTCTCCTTCAAGAGAGACGAAAGCTTATCAAGTCTGGCATTAGAAGAGATTCAAAAAGGATTAAGGGTTCCAGTATTCATGTAAGTGGTGTCGTAGCATGTAGGGTGCTGAATAGCACTTTTGTGTATGATCAAAGTTTTAATAATCCTGTACTCAATCCAGTTGTGCCTGTTACTGATTCACCTAGTTCTCTTTCTCCTGTTAATGTCTCACCCAATACTGCCTCCCCTGGTACTGACTCTCCTCTGTCCCACGATTCCAATGAGCCCGTCTCATCTCCAGCTTCTGTTCCCTCTTCCTGACTAGCCCCAGATGGTTTCTCAGCCTGCCTCTAGAACGCTCGTAGCCTAGTCAATAAGCTACATAAATTTCAATCCTATGTATATTCCACATCTACCATATTTTGTGTCAATGAAACCTGGTTAAGCTCTGCTGTAGTCAATGGTGAAGTCCTACCTACATTTATACAAATGCGACAGAGCATCTAGAGGTGGTGGTGTTCTACTTGCTGTGCATCAGTCTATTCCCTCATCCATCATTCCTTCTCCCAATTTGGAAGTAGTTTTCATTCAAATCATTTCCTCCATACCACTGGTTCTCTGTCTTGTTTATATTCCTCCCTCTGCCAGTATTGGTTATGTTGGTGAGATCCTATCATTTCTTGATTCTATAATCTCTTCTTTCTCTAATGTCATTATTCTTGGTGACTTTAATTCCCTTTGACATCTGTTGGGACACTCTGATAGGGCAATGTTCCTCTTCTGAATCATTATGTGATTTTGTTTTTCGTCATGATCTCACTTAAGTTGTTAACTTCCCCACCCATACTTGAGGTAATATCCTTGATCTTATTCTATGCACTCCTTCTACTTACAATTTTGTCAGTGACCCTTTTGCTGCCTCCTCTAATCTGCTATCTCTGATCACTCTCTCATTTCATTGCTTATTTCTCTCTCACTCAAACGTACTGTCTCTCCAAGTTCCTCATGGTTCTATAATTATAAGAAAACAGACTTTGACAAGTTGAACTCATTCCTACTAGATTTTGACTTTACTCCCATCATGGAATCCAATGACATTGATTTTATCTGTGCTTTCCTAAAGGAAACCATCCTCACTTCTATCTCTCTTTTTACTCCAATTGTTAAGACTAAGAAGGTCTAATTGCCTAAATGGTTTTACTCTGGTATTCGGCATCAACTCCACTTAGTACGCTCTCTACATAAACACCACAAGAGACACTGTACCTGATAATTTCATTAGTCTCTCGTCAGCTGAACGTTAACTCCAGCTCAGTAGACTCGATGCCCGGAACTCATATGAGGGTGGCCTTTTCCAGGATTTTATCTGCTCTAAAAGTCCTAAGATCTTTTCCTACATTCGTGACCTTTCTAAATCCAGCAAAATTCCATTTGTCATGCACTATGAGTCTTCGGTAGCTGACAATCCTCATGACATAGCCAATATGTTTAACAGTTACTTTCACTCTAACATTGGCCCTTGTACAACTGTCCCGTGCCCTCCTATATATCTGCCTGAGGAATCTCTCTGTTCAGTAGATATTTCCCTAGATGATACCTGTAATGCTCTGTGCTCCATTAATCTTAACAAGGTTAAAGATGGTGACAATATTCATCATCTATTCAAAACCTGTTTTTCAGGCCAAGTGACTGGCATTGTCATTACATCACACCTATTTTTAAGAGCAGTGATCATTCGCATGTTACCAACTACAGGCCCATCTCCATTCTCTCATCTATATCTAAGGTTTTTGAAAGGATAATTCTTGACAAGGTATATGATTTTGTGTCTCAGTCTTCGATTCCTAACACCCAATTGGCTTTATGAAGAATCGCTCAATGGTGAAACAGCTACTTATTCACACTTTCAACATCCTAAAGGCGTTTGAGGTCAGTGGTCAACTTGATGCTGTGATGCTCGACATATGTAAGGCTTTTGATACAGTACCCCACGATCGCCTACTCATAAAACTCTGGCAGTGCGGTATTAATGGTTCTCTTTGGCATCTGTTTAATAGATCTCAATGTGTTGTCATTGATGGGCATTGCTCCAATTGGTTACCTGTAAACTCAGGGGTACCTCAAGGCAGCATACTAGGGCCACCTCAGGCAGCATACTAGGGCCACTTCTATTTGCAATTTACATCAATGATATATCTGTCAGTGTTTCCCATTCTCAAACCCTCTTGTTTGCTGATGATACCAAAATATCTAAAGTAGTCTCAACTCTTTCTGATAGTTCCCTTCCACAATCTGATCTCAATAATGTTTTCTGTGGAGTCGGGACTCCAATCTTGCTTTCAATTCAAAAAAGTCTTTTTATGTGTTTCCATCAGAAAAATCAGTGTCATCAAGTATACCACTTGGGTTTCTCTGCTATCAGTCAAGTCTCAAGTTGGCATGATCTGGGCATCTATTTTACTGAAGACCTATCTTGGTCCATTCACCTCAGATCTATAGTACAGAAGGCTTTTTCTAAACTCAGTATAATACAGAGGACCTTCTCTCAGGATGCACCACCTATCGTCAAAAGACAATTATATCTCTCCTTGGTCAGGTCACAACTATCGTATGGCTCTCAACTTTAGAGACCCATGTTTCAGAAGGTCATTGTTCTAATTCAGTCTGTACAACGTCAGGCTACCAGGTATATACTTAGTGACTGGTCCTCAAGCTATCATGAGAGATTAATTCACCTCAATCTTCTGCCTCTAATGTATTATTTCGAGCTACTGGACATTTTCTTCTTTGTTAGCTGTCTATTCCATCCAGATCTCAGTTTCAGCATCAATGATTATGTAACTTTCTCCAACAGCTCTACCAGATCTACATCCTCCTTCAAATTAATGTTTAAGCCATCATCTACTAGTTCAGCACATCACTTTTATTTTTCCGAATAAGCAGGTTATGGAACTCACTTCCTCCTATTGATCTCTCTCTATCTCTCGCTACAATTTAAGTAAAACTAAAAAATTTATTTTGGTCATATTTTTTCTCATTTTGATTCTCCCAATCTATGCACCTTTCATTTCATTTGTCCATGTTCTAAGTGTCACTCTCTTAATACTGCACCCTCAATCCTTGCATCATGATCTGTTTTCCTTTTTTCTTTTTCTTTTTTTACCATTTTCTAATGTCTATTGTTATTATCTTCTTATTGTCATAAATAATGTATGTATTATTATCTCAGGGTACCAGTAGTCCTTGCTGGTAACCCTTCAAGACACTTCAATCTGGTAGATTTTATTTCTCTGTATGCCACATGTTTTTGAGTCTTGTAAATTTGATTAATAAATAAAATAAATATAGTTCAGTAAAATCATGTGATGTATAACTTTTTAAAAACAATTACAACAAGTTCAGTTATACAATATTGTATCATCTCTTTTAGAAATTATTTGATTATCCTATAAAATTCAGTATTGCTTTCATTACTGTTATTCTGAGAGTTTCATTACCACTGGTCACAGTATGAATGCACGACATTTGCCTTTCTCAAGATGTTTTAAAGGAAATGTAGTGTTGTCAATTCTTCAACATTCATATCTATCTGCTATAGCTTTTATAGTAAGAAAAATAATGATTATAAGCGATCATAATTAACAGTGAACTTTCAAAAATGTCATCATTTAGTGGCCATATATGGTGTCTGGAATAATGTGCTTTTCAGTTTGACACTTTTATTTGGATGATAAAATCAGCAGCTTAGATTTCAAGTCTTTTTGCCATATATATACTCTTCAATAGCTTTAAATTCCATTATTCATTATTTTTGTTCTAAATATATTGCTTTTCTAAAAGCTTCTAAATCTACGAGACTGAGCCCATTTGTTTTGTACACAACATGTTATCATGCCTGAATCAGCATTTTTGCCACAAAATAACAGACCATGTCTAATATCCTTTACTGGTACAGCCATGACACATCTTATAGATCATGGCTGATATTCTGGCATGTATCAATACAAATTTTATCATGATTGTATCATGGCTGATTTTTGCAGTTGTATCACGACTGATTACACAAAGACCATGATTCAGGACTGATATCAGTATGATTCAGACTGATACCAGTCCTGATCTAAGGCAATAACAATTGGTTGTGTATTCTATCTAGTTTTATGATAGTCTATGGTTCTGTTCCACATTCTAGACACTCAGAAGAACGCTACGCGTTCACTCTGCATATGTCTGTGTACGTTCCGCGTCACTCGTCCCACATTCTTTGCAGCTTTCTGCATTTTAGTAACAACCCCGTGGTTTTGTAAAATTTCGAGGCGTGCTTCTCGCACCTCATCATTTGCCAAAAACCTCCCTATGCCCCTAAAAGTGACAAAGTTTCTGTACCTTTTCTCCAAAACAACGAACATTTAAGCTAGGAAAGAAATACAGAGAACTGGTAATACATTGCTTTAGTTATTAAAACTGGCTAGTAATTGCGTTGATATGTTCTTTTGAAATCCTATAAATCTGTCCTTCTCTGGCAAGACTTGGCTCTCCTCCTTCCACTATTGTATTATAATATCAATTGTACGCAGAAAATTAGAATACTGAAATAAAATATTGAAATCAAAGAAATAATAGATTCAGTATTCTCGAACCTCTCTCCTAATGAAAGCAGGTACTGACTCTACTGGTATAATCTGTCTATACTACCTCATCACAGGAAGACAGGAGGCGTTAAGTGGAGTAAAAAAAAATGATTCTATAAGCTCCCATAACATCTAAATAATTGCTAATATGCACCACCCACCCTGGTCACTCCCTCTAGCATGTATTCACAACATTGAAGTGGGCAGCTATTGCAAGCCAATCATTGAATAAAACACAATACAACAGGGTAACATCAGTAGACCAACAACATATACAATCATAGACCATAACTAACTCAGAATTTAACAAAAAAACAATCACAAAAGGAATACACACAAGTGCGGCAGCCAGTGGGTTGGGGACCTGTCAGTTTAGAATTATTTAGGGACACTGGGTCCCACTGTCACTCAGGGGAAAAACCACCACTTGGTATTCCTGTGGTGGAAAAACCTATGACCTCAACCCCTGCTACACACAGAACTAATACAGATACACACAATGAATAATAATACTTGTAATCATAATAATAATAATAATAATAATCAGCAATAATAATAATAATAATCATTAATGTCCTAATAACTTAAAATCACAACTCTATATCAAATGGGCAGGGTCACAATGATTGAATAGAGTCTTTTTGAGGTGCCGTGCCAGTTATTTACCTAGAAATCAACAAAAAAAACAATTTTTGTTAAGGAATCAAATTACGAGGCGGGTGGGGAGGAATAAAATATGTATTAGAATGATTTGTAGTGTCTGCTTGCACTGTGATGCTCCATAGACTGAACTCTTGACATATTCACGGGGTATATATAGATACCCCTGCAAACCCTTGTGAAAAATCCCACCAAGATCTTGCATGATAACTTGAATAATCTTGCCAAGATATAAAGGAAGATTGTGTTCGAACTTTCCATATCTTGTAACCAAGAATGTGTAAGATATAGCATAATCTTGCTATCAAGATTACAATAAGATATTACATAATCTTATCTGTCATATTTCAAGATTTTGAAACAAGATATTACATATTCTTTCGAGAATTAAATTAAACTATTTTTGATTAATAAGTCAACAGAATAAATATCAGAAAAGGTTATAGTAATACACGGCATAAATAATCGTCATTCAGTTTTCACATCCCTACATTTCTGATGCAAGGATGACACCAACCTAGTGTGCTCATAATCAGGATATCTTATCCGAATACAATCTAAAGAACACTTTAATTCTTACATATTGATTTGAAAAACATACCAAACAATAACTGAACCCTTTCAGGATCAAGAGCAGGCTTAGTACTCTTCTTTGACTGTAACAAAATACCATTCTTTTGTTCAGATTTCGTAATAAGAACATCTAGCAGGTTACGTCCATAGGCATTTGAATCCTTTGCTTCAATCTTTAACAAATATATTCCATTCTTCTGCACAAGACAAACTCAATAGTAAAGACATCCTAAACTTTAATATTTGTACTTACACAATATTTAGGATTGTCTTTGTTGACTTCATTAATGTCCTTTGAATCAACAATTTTAGCGAGAGTATCATGTAGATCATTAAGTTTTCTATCCATTTTTATTAATAATTCCTATGATGCAAAATTTGCAAATTGAGTATTAAAAAATGTTACATGCTTACATAAACATTTTCAATCCTTATATTACTCTCCAGCGAAGGTACGATCATTAAACTATTATTTAATGGTGTTGATCTATTTCTTTTATCCACATCCTCCAGAATAGAAGATGCATCATCTACTAATGCCTGAGTGTCAATATCCATCACTCCACTAGTCTGGAAATAAAAGTTGAGATACAAATAAATACTAGTTGAGCAATGCATACCCTTTTGGCAAGAGCTGCACTGTTTGTCCTTGTCATTGCATCACCTTTCTTTGTAGTCTTTACATTAGGCTTTGACTTTTTTACAGGTGCAGGTGCTAATACTATGTTTAAAGTTTTAGTTTAATGCAGAATGATTACTTTTCTCCCATATTGTAACATCATGTGTCTTGCCGTCCTTAGGACAATATATGACTGCCTGGCCATGAGTAAGGGTCTGCTCATCTAAGTCTTCTCCGTTCTCCAAAGATGTTGCAGCTTTGTTACAAAGTTCCTGTCTGGTTACATCTGACTTGTATTTTATCTAATCAGAAAATTTAAAGCCTGATTTTAAATTACTTTCATAACAGATGCAACATACCCTATGCAGTAGCTTTCTTTGGTGGTTCAACCTGGCTCTCTGATAGGTGCCATGGTAGTTTTCTTTTTCTCCTTTCATTTTTTGGAGGTGTTGGAGGAACGTACTGTGGTGAATTATCTGTATCTCCAATTGTTTCATCTGAGGAATAGCCATTGTTATAATCCATTTCAGTAAGAAATCGGGAGCTAGGTGTCTTTTTCGATCTTGCAGCAAAAGTCTGCATGTGGTATCTACTGAGCATGCTCATTCCATCTTAATAATAATAGATCTAGTTAATAAATAGGACAAAAATGGCTGCCTCAGATCAAGCTACAGAAAATGCTACTACCTCAACTAGTACATCAAGGGGCCCTACAGAGCTCACCTCTATGATAGCAGTAAAGAAGTTTCTCGAACTACACGGTGGAGATTTTTTAGAGCAAGGTGAACATTATTAGTGATTGACTCACTGACTATATATGTCCCAATAATAGACTTGCTGTAGAAACTACCAATTTCAATCATTCTGAAGCAATGAGGGGTGAAAGTGATGAAGATAGTGACAGCCCCAGTGACATGTCAATGTCTGCTATTGGTGATTGTTCCTCAGACAAAGAAATGTTTCATGGACAAGGTTGTAGCGGTGACATTCTAACTGATAGGGAATATGATTATAATGACGAACAAGCTGAAAATTTGGATGGAAACATCTCTGACGAATCAAATGACAATGATGTTGAAGATTGCTGAGTTGATAACAGTCTTGAAGAGGCAAGTTATGAGTATACTATAGATAAAGATGAATTGTTCTTACCTCTTTATCCTGGTGCGAACATTTCAATATGTGGTGCATATTGTGCCATTATGAGCCTTCAGTCAAAATGCAGTTTGCCTTTTACTACAGTTAGTGAGATTCTGAAATTGTTGCTGCTACTATGTCCAGCAAACAAATTACCCAGTTGTGTCTACCATCTACGAAATTTTTTTTCAAGATTTCAATCTCTGAAAGAAAAGACTAAGTATTGCCCTTATTGTTAGGAAAAGTACGTTGGACGCTCATGCTCGAATGCACAATGCTCATACACTGTCTCTGAACCAGATGTTTTTATTCAGATGGATGTGGAGAAACAAATAAGGACAATTTTTAATTGTAAGTGCATACATTCATGAAAAATAATGGTAAATTTTTTTAAGTGATTTTTGTTGAAATTATTAGAAATTTTCATTCATGCATGGTTGGAGTTGATGAAACTAACATAATTGTTATTCTGTTGTCATGACTATATATACCTGAATGGATATTTGTAACTGATTATGATTAGCTACTGGTCAAATTAAAGATACTGTAGCTACTAGTCAAATTAATTGTTATGATGCCAATTGCATGTTGTAATTAATACCCTTGCATGCCATGTGATTAAAATAAAAGATTTAATTAATTACAATTATAAACATTATTGACTTCAACATCAGTTCTATTTACACTGATATTCCTGTAACCCCAGTACTAAAGATAATACCATACCGTTTAGCGGGTATATTTCGTCTGGAAAAATGTTCGTTCTAGCATGGTTCTAGAAATTTTCATTCGTTTTATTTTCGTTCTGAGCAGCCATTTTACACACGTGGCATTGAGGAAACGCCCTTTTCGTTTGGAAAATGTTCGTTCCACAAGGAATGAGAACAAAAAGAACGAAATTAAACTCGAATGGAATATACCCACTATACAGTATCATATTTACTAATATTTATTATACCCATTAGGTCAATCAAAAGACATTCAATGTTGTTCACTAGCATCAGACGTTAAGCTGTCCGGATCTTCACCTTTGCAACATGGGAAGAGTTTTTCAATTGTTCTGAGCACATTGGTGTTACACTCAATACAGATGGTGTGGCATTATTTAAATCATCACGCGTGACTATGTGGCCAGTATATCTAGAAATCGTTAATTTTCCTCCTTCTGTTTGATTCCGTACTGAAAACACAGTAATCTGTGGTCTTTGGGTTGGAAGGAACAAACCAGATATGAAAATTTTGTTGAGTCCCACATTAGAAGCTATTGAAAGGTTACATGTCATTGGTTTAGATTTTGTTAATTCTGAAGGTTTGAAGAAAAGCATTCGTCTCAAGCTTTTATTTGGTGTTTTTGACTTTGTAGCAAAAGCTAAAGTTTTCAATATGGTACAATTTAATGGTGCCTATGGTTGTCCAACTTGTGTACATCCAGGAGTACATCGAAATAACCGCCATTTGTATCTTCTTTGTTCAACATACCCTTTACGTACTTTACAGAGTATTGAAGCAGCACAAAATAAAAGCAATGAGACAGGTGCAATTGTAGATGGGATAAAAGGCAAATCTGTGTTGCACGGATACTTAAATTTAGTAAATGATGTGCCGCCAGATTACATGCACTGCGTCCTAGAAGGTGTTACTAAATCACTTTTAATGTTCTGGACAAACTCAAAATACAGAAGAGAGCCATTTTCAATAAGACAACATCTATATGAAGTTGATAATGCTTTGCAAGCACAAACTCCGCCTACAGAGTTCACTCGGTCGCCACGTTCTTTAATAAAAGACCTTTCCTATTGGAAAGCCAGCGAATTTTGAGCATGGCTTCTTTTTTATTCACTTACATTACTGCGTGATGTGTTGCCTCCCCTCTACTTTCACCATTATTCCCTACTTGTTTGTGCTTGGCATATTTTGTTGCAGAAGCATATAACTTATACATAATGTGGAGCTGCAGAAGAAATGCTGAACGATTTCTACAAATTATTACCTGAGCTATATGGAGAAAATAGCTGCACCATTAATGCACACACATTATCTCATTTGACTCATTTTGTTCGGTTATGGGGACCATGCTGGACACATTCTTCATTTTCTTTTGAAAACCACAATGGCACGCTAAAAAGAGCAGTACATTCTACACGCAAGGTTGCTGATCAACTTAATTTTGGTTTAGATATTAAGCTTACTCTACAAAATCTTTACTATGATATAGAGTTAAGGGAGTCAACAGACTGTTTGCAGTTTCTTAATATTCAGAAAAGTCGTTCAACTATATGGACTAAGGTTACTCAGGGATACACCATTGGTCGAGTTAGAACTTGTAACTTAGAGTTGTCATATTTTCAAGAATTAAGGAAGCTTTGTGGAAGTGCAGAACGGGAAGTTAGAATATTTGATAGATTATTTCTAAATGACTTTATGCTGCAAACAATTGATTATTATGAAGGGCAGAGAAAATTTTGCAATGCTTATTGTTCATATAAGTTTGAGAATGAAGCAGAAATGTATGGAGAAGTTCAGATGCTTGCCGAATCTTCCTATGTTGGAACTGTTGCTTTCATTAAGCCTTTAAAAACTACAACATCGAATATATTAAAATTTTCGGGTCAACCTTGCCATGACATTCTAGATTTGTATGCACAATATGCCCTTGTTTCACGATTTGTAATAGAGATTGAAGCAAGTGCTGAAGTTCCTGTATTGGCAGTATCAGTGAAGTACATAAAATCAAATTGCATAAAAATTTCCCCAGCCAATGATTCAACCAAATTTTACATAGTTACATTACCCAATAATTATGAACATTACTAGTTATGATAGTTAAAACGTAACATTTTTGTTATTAATCTATAATATAATAATAAATTGCAAAGTTATTAATAAACATGTTGTAAAAGCAAGATCATTTAAGATCACTAATAGACTATACACATTTCTATCCTAATAAGATCACCAAAGTTCATGTAAGAATACTAAGCATGTTGCAAAAGCAAGATCTCCTAAGATTTCTAATACAATATATATATTCCTGTCATAATAAGATCACCAAAGTTCTTGTAAGAATACCAAGCATGTTACAAAGCAAGATCTGCTAAGATCCCTAGTAGACTATACACAATTCTATCATCATAAGATCACCAAAGTTCTTATAAGAATACTAAGCATGTTATAAAAAGCAAGATCTCCTAAGATCCCTAGTAGACTATACACAATCCTATCATAATAAGATCACCACAGTTCTTGTAAGAATACTAAGCATGTTATAAAGCAAGATCTCCTAAGATCCCTAATAGACAATACACAATCCTATCATAATAAGATCACCAAAGTTCTTGTAAGATTGATGTGAATATCATCAAGATCACAAGTGACGTGATTATGAAAGATCTTACAATAAATTTCTTTTTAAAAATTTTGAGATCTTACAATATTGTAAAGTATTTTCTTATTTTGAAAATAAAGACTATGTATGATCTCATAAGATCTTATATCTTGTGTGATCATGTAAAATCTCATGTAAGATTAGTTAAGAATTCAGCAAACAAGATTTTCCAAGATTATGTACCTTACAAAATCTTGAAATTTCATGCTAAATCATATAACATCTTGTAAGATCTTGCTGGAATTTTTCACAAGGGAAACCCCACCTATGGGTGGGTCAGTATAACATCCTCAATTTGTATGGGAGCTCATTTTCCGCCTAATTCATTACATTCAACAGACAGAAAATATACTTCCCACAACATCCAATTAATTGTAATATGCACCACCCACCGTTGTCATTCTCTCTAGCATGCATTCACAACATTGAGGTGGGCAGATAGGCAAGCTAATCATTGAATAAAACACAATACAACAGATAACTATAGGACAACAAAGGGTCCATAGCCCAAGTCAACCACATCACCACCACCACTTACAACCCAAGTTTCCTTGAAATTTTCAGCCTTGTCTCCACAAAGTCCTTTACATATCCATCCTTGGCCATCTCCGATCTCCATCGTTCATGTCGTTTCAAAATTCGGTCCTGAACCCCTTGATCTGCAGCCAACATCGCTCCACCTGCTCTGAAACTACGGGTACCAAACAAAGATGGGTCATACCCAAGAGACTGAAGCTTGGCTTGAAGTAGCTCTCTAATCCTAGGGTAACTAAGGGATCCCAATTTCCTCAGTTTCTCTCCATTTCTTGAGTGAACAATAGCACGAAACAACTGCTCTGTACTGTTGGAGTTGATAGCAGCTAGTTTGAAACACTGCTCAAGTCATGTCCAAGGGCAAGTAGCAGAGCCAGAGCGTACAACCACTACCTCATCACCTTGGTGTAGCTGGTCAGTCTTGCTCGATAGAATCTTGATGACCATGTAACTCGGGTAAAACTGCACATTCCAACAACGTAGACTGATCACTTCATCAACTCTTAGAAAAGCCGAGAATGCTACGAGAGCAATAGCAACTGTCCTAGCCTCAGAGAGGCTAGGCGATGAACCAGCTGCGTCAACCAAATCTTTTAACATAGCCGGCATTATAGGCTCCTTCTTCTTCCAAGGTTTAGCCAACAATCTCTGTAAGCTAGCAATTACTGTCTTAATGAAGGGGTCATGTGTGATTGGTTGTGAGCCAACTGTCTGGTTTATCCACAACACAGCATTAACTGCTTCCTCCACAGCAGCTTTAGATTGAGAGTGGACCGCAATATGCTGCAGGTACAACGCAAACTGTAACGGGATTACCAGAAAAGCTTGGATCTCTTCCTTACTATCTGCCAATCGCTTTCATTTGTCGAACACCCCGACATACTTTCTGACAGTGCTATCCGCTTTAGATTTTATCACAGTCTCCTTAAGGCCTTGTGCTAGGGACTGCAACTGAGGGTCTATGATCTTCATTAACTCCTCACAAGGTCCCGCGTGTAAAATTTCTATATAATAATAATAGTAACAGTAACCATAATAATAAGAGTAATACTTATCACTAAAGTGTGAGCCATATAGACCACAATTCATGGCTCCAATGTCACCGAGAAGATATTAACAATAACAGTAATAAACTGATATGAACCAACAATATTAGTTGTAAGCAAAGTAAATGAGTGCTTGCAATAAAACAACAGCTGGACTTTATAAATACAACGGACCAGATAGGCACCCATAAGGATAAACAATGCAGCAGGCACCCAAGAGCCACAATACAGGACAAAGCCACAATGGGATGTAGAGCTAAATCAATTCAGCTTATAAGGTCAACCTTAACTTGACCTTTACCACTACCTACAAAGGCAGCATCCCAAATTGGCGCCTCAGCACAATAGCTACAACCAAAGTGGCTACTCAGTCCTGATAGCTAACTAGTAAATTACACTTCAAAACATACTAACATACACCTCACAAAAAAACTGCTAATCTGTGAAGTCAACACGTAAACCTAAGACTCTTAATGTAGGTATCCCATCCTTAAACAGGCAGGATCCCCGTTTTCCTTCAACAAACAATCCAGGCTCTAATGGCAGGTAAAAGTAATCTTTAATAAATTTCTCCAGGCAACCATGCAAATCCCAAAGAAGGGGCCAGAAAGTGGCTGAAGGCCACTCGGGTACAATCAAGGTACCAACATACTTGCAACATCTGGCATGAAACAACAAACGTGGTATCAAATAAATAGGGGGGCAGAAATAATTGTTCTCCATTTCCCAATTAAATGTAAAAGCATCTACAGCTTCGGACCCGCTATCCATAAACCTGCTATTAAATCGAGGCAACTTAGTGTTACTGGAAATAGCGATCCTGTCAATGGTATGGGGCCCCCACTGAGCCTCAATCAGCTGAAAAACTGAGCATGATAGTCCCCAGTCATCATAATCTACAATACAGCTGAAGTAGTCAGCTACTTCGTTCTGTATCCATTCCAGCTCAATTATGTTATTTTGAATAGCCAACTTGAAAATGGCAATTGTTTCAGACTGTAATTCGGTCTTCCTGCTCCCTACCTAAATTATATGAGCAACATTCTGATTGTCTGTGAACCACCTCACTCTGTGATTAGAGAGCTCAGTCGCAAATGCTTTGAGAGTCAGTGTGACTGCTCTCAATTCCCTCCATGTAGAACTCTTAATAGATTCTGACCAAAGCCTGTGTCACTAGCATCCGAATAGACAACTCGTACAGCAGATGGGGTCCACTATACTTGTCTGCCATTGAAACTACCAATATTGTCAAGCCAAAACAATAACTCATCCTTAGCTTCTGCTGTAACAGTAATACTGTCATGCCAAGACGACCTAGATTGAATCAAGAAGTACAGAAACCTTGTCCTAAGCCTGGCTATGTCGCCTAGAGCTAGACACATGGATATAATTTTTCCTACAACACTAGCAACTAGCCTAACTGAATTCCAGTTACAGTCCATTATAGTCTGAAGCAACAGTTAGAGTGCCTTAAGCTATTCTTGTGGCACTTTAATTATTCTCTGATCTAAATCAATATCAAAACCTAGCCAGGATGCATGCTTAGGTGGCACAAAATTACTCTTCTCTTTCTTAATCACTAGGCCCGCTTTTACCAATGTATCCTCTACTAATTTACTAGCAGCAATAGCCTGGGATTCAGAAGCTTTAACTGATACTATGCCATCGTCTAAATACAGCACTAATCTAATCCCACAAGCCTGAATATACTTAACTACATGCCAAAGCAATTTAGTGAAAATAGAACAAGCTGTTGATAATCCAAATGGCAGCACAGTAAACACATAAAATTTGTGCTCCCACTGAAAACCTAAATATGTCTGATGCTCAGAGTGAATATCTACATGATGGTACCCAGATTTTAAGTCAAAAGTAAACAAATAGGCATCTTCCTCAAAGTAATCTAAGGCTGTTTTAAAATCTTCATACTTAAACCTGCATTTCCATAAATACAAATTCAGGAATTTCAGGCTGATAACCAGCCTCTTTTTTCCTACAGAATCCTGTACAACTAGCAATGGGCTACAGATAAAAAGGTTTCTGAGCTACAATTTTAGCACAACCATTATCTACAAGTTTTACAACTGCTTCAGTAACAAAATCTACCTTGTCTTTAGTAGAACTATGGTTAGGGGCACCGTAACTAGGTGGTGAACATATAAGGGGCAATCTATAACCGTTCTCTATCACATCTATTATGTAGGGAGTAGCAGTCAAAGCATCACGCCAAAATACAATATACTGTTTAAGATGCCCTTTAACATTCTCGACCCCATGCTCACTAGCTTCCCAATATCTACATGATAAATAAACATAAGTATCGTCAATTCTCACCACACCGATCAATCTCATTCTCGATATAATTACAACCATGGGGAGGATACTGATGTGATGACAACTTGGGGCAAGAGCTCTGAAGGTGGCCCATCTCGCTGCACCGAAAACGGGGGCCAATTGGTCTCGAACAACCCGCGCTACCCAAGCCTCTCTCCTAGTAGATGGGCCCAGCGAGAATCTTCCCCTGCTGGACTAAATGCTTCTGAAGTGCTGCTGGGGTGCCCTAGCAGTAGGTGGCAGAGCTAGTGGTTTGGAAACCAACTTCTTAGTAGCTACAGCTGCAGATGCAGCTGCTCTTCTCGTCCTCATTCTCCGCTAACAAATCTGACTCATATTCTTTCACCACCTTCCAACCATTCTCTGATCTGTCTGCCATTCTAATCAGCTTCTGTCTGTGGGTCACTAGCTTCATACCTTTATCTAGGCTCCTCTTCGTCTTGGCAATAGACAGTGTAAGTGCTTCCGGGGGAACGGGAACTGTTTCAGCAACTAAGGAAGATATCTCCTCTAGCTGCTTCGAGGACTCTTGTAGCTGTTCCTCAAGCTTCTCGGCATAGACGAATTGGTCCGCATTACTCTTAATCTTGAACTCAAGGACGGATCTGTCTATCTTTGGTTTCTTTGCCGCCAGCTCTGCAACTTCATCAAAGTGGCTGGATATCTTTTCGAACAAGGCAGCATTTTGCTTGTTCGTATCCTATATTGTCTTGGTAAGTGCAGCAACTCTTGCTTCCATTGTAAACGATGATCGGTTGACTAAGATAAATATGTTTTGGAATGATTTGTAGTGTCTGCTTGCACTGTGATGCTCTGTAGACTGAACTCTTGACATATCCACGGGGTATATATAGATACCCCTGCAAAACCCCACATACAGGTGGGTCAGTATAACATCCTCAATTTTTATGGGAGCTCATTTTCTGCCTAATTCATTACATTCAACCAACAGAAAATATACGTAATAACTACCACCTACGCCGTTATCACTCCGTAGCCCTTTAATCTACTCTTGTGGCTTACTAGTTTGGGGGGCCAGACTCAATTTTAAGAAGAGCATCTGGTTTCATGCCTAACATCAACTCGTGCTTGTCTGGTGGAATTTGGTCAACCTAATCAGATCAATGTTTTTTCTTAATAATAATAATTATAGCCGGCAAAGCTAATTGTTTAATTATTGTACAGTATTATAGACGATGATCAATAAAAAATTTAATATAAGAGAGGGAAAAATAAAGTTTCATGGGAGGGGGAAGATAGTTCCATTGATTAATTTTAGATGGGTAAAATGAGTTTGAATATGTAAATGTCTTGCAAGTGATCTGAGAAAAGTTACCGTTATTATTAAATTGAAGAGAATAGCAGGAGGGAGCTTTAATTTGTAAACAATGGAATGGGCAAAATGAAAGATTTTCTTTTATTTTAAAAAGCAGGACAATTTTAAATTTAAATTGCCGATGAGACAGGGAAGTAAGGCGAGAGAGATTTAGGAGATGGTGGTACGGGATAGACCATAATTTGAAGGCTATTTTAAAGCCAAATTGCTGAACAGCCTCCAGTTGTGATGAGACTGTGGGAGGAGGATCCCAAATTGAAGAAGCATACTCCAAAATTGGCCAAACTAGTGTCACACATAGATGAAGAATAGTCTCTGTAAATGAATGCTTGTAAAAGTTGCAATAAATTAGTCCGAGAACTTTTCTACATGTAGCTTTTTAAATTATAAACGATGTGTTTGCTCCAGGAAAATGTAGATGTAAAGATTAGGCCAAGGTATTTATAGGAAAACACACGATCAACAAGTGATTGATTTAGATAAAGGAGAGGAAGAGTATCAAAGACTGAGTAACCTGAAAGAGAAAATATTATGTATTTTGACTTAAAGGTGGTTTAGAGATAGTGAGTTTTTGTGTATCCATGTACAAATCGAGTCAATTTCAGTTTGCAGGGAAGTCCAGTCAGTTGAAGGATTTGCGAGGGGATGAAGAAGAATATCGTCAGCAAATAGAAACATTTTGGAATGAGGAGAAAGGCTAACATTACTTAAATTGTTAACAAACAGTAGAAAAAACAGAGGTCCTAGAATTGAGCCCTGAGGAACCCCTGAAGTAAAGGGAATAGGTGAGGAGATTGAATCTCTGACACGAACACTTTTTTGTCTGTCAGAGTGGTAGGAGGTGAACCTCAAGTATAGTGAAGATAGAAGATTAAGTGCTAATAGTTTGTTAAGAAAAAATTGGTGGCTAACAGAGTCAAAAGCTTTCTTAACATCTAGGAAAAGACCACATACAGGGACAGAACGTTGTAAAGATGACAGAATAAATTAACTGACTGTGACTCGTGCAGTGGTGGTGGAACGTCCTGGGAGAAATCCAAATTGAGAGTCAGAGATGAGTCCAACTGAGAACAGATAATCAATGAGAATCTGGTCTACATGTTTCTGAAGGAGCTTTGAAATGAGGGAAAGAAGGGATATAGGGCGATAATCAGAAGGGGATGGC